CCATGAGGATGCTGAAGAGCATAACAAGTTGTCCAGGATTTTTATCGGATAAGGGCGAGACTTGGTTCCCTACAATTCGTTTTGTTGATTATGGTATAGACATGAGACATGGCTTCCGCGTTCGATATCAGCTCAGACTAATCCTACATGCATGTCATGGTATAGTAAAACTCTAGATTTGCCAGAATAGCCTTGGAGCCAACCCTAATTTTCGTCTCAGTCGTCTATTGGCACACAAGCCAGCCTTATATGCACAGCTTACTACTGGCCATCAATGCCTAAAGGTTTCTTATCGGATCCGGTGGTTGTACAGTGATCCCCTTGTCAGGCTTAGACTGCAATATCCGCCCGAACTGCGAGCCCAGATCTGAGATTCCATGCCTTGCCCTCTAGAACCGACTGAATAAGACGTTGACTTCAGTCATGATAACCGCCTCCGTCAGCACACCATAGTCTTTTGCAAAGTTCTTGACATGTGCATGCTTCGGTTACCTCAAGCTCACTTTTGTCTTTGCCCGCAGCATTTGGAGTCGCTGCGAAGCATATCAAACGTGTGTCTTGATATACTCAGGCTTTCGCGATCCGGGGCTACGAAGTACCTGAAGAGAGGTTAAAAACCTTGGGCTAGATATTAAAGTCCGATGGGTGTTAACTCAGGCTTCAAGCGTCGGCAGTTGGCTTCCCAGAAGGTACTCTATGCCCTGCCCTGATCAGATAGTGAGCCAGCAGACGTATTTGTTGGTTTCATATATATGAGTCTGCGAGCATATGAGGGAAGACAAGAAGTTTCGGTTTCACAACATGGCCTCTTCCACGGAATCCGATCTAATTCCGCCTTGGACCGATTCTCGTTCCCGTATACCTAATACTTACAGCCCTGGCCTGGGCTGGGTCGTGAACTTCTCATTTTCCCAAATAGGAAAATAAGCAACCAAGCTAAAGGTGGATCATTGCAACCTTAATATGAACCTCACGCACAACTCTTCCATTTGTTCAGACATAGTGGAAAACCATACCTATAAAAAACATGTTAACTCATACAAGACCTTTAATCGTTCATTACCGTGTGAGTCACGGTGCGACTATCCGTGCATTTCATGAAACACTTGCACATTGGCATTCGGATAGATTGCGGACTTTATCTCAAGTCCGGGTCGGATCATCGCTGGGACACGCCACGGACGTGAGGGGGGTTCACGCTGAGGAGGGGAAATGTGTAGTTGGACCGTGAACTAGGGGTATGTAAGAAATATGTATATAAGAGCTAAAAACTGCTTCTATCATTCGATCAATCCATCAATTCATACCATCAAAAACAACAGTCACTTTCAAAGAATAGTCAAATCACTTCATCATGCCTTTCAGTCACGTTGCCCTCTCCGTCGGCGAACACTACGTCGAGATGCGTGACTTCTACAAAGCCGTCCTCGCTCCTCTTGGCTATGAGTTCAAGTTTGAAGGCACAGGTGCCAAGGGAGCTCAGTACTGCAGTTTTGGCGTCAAGAATGGCGCTCCAGACTTTTGGCTTGGCGGCGGTGGTCCTGCGTTGAAGAAATATGACGGCAATCTTGAGAACAGAACTGCGCCGGTTCATGTCGCCTTTGACGGTGAGAATCAGAAGCATGTCGACGAGTGGTATGATGTGGCCATGTAGGTCAATTGTTGATTTGAAGATGTGATGCAGATGCTAATTGGGTTGGTGTAGTAAAGCTGGAGCTACTGATAATGGAAAGCCTGGGCTGAGGGAGTATAGACCTGGATACTATGCGGCGTTTGTTCTTGATCCTGTTGGGAACAACATTGAGGTTCTTCACATGTCTTAGAGCGATGTATTAGGTATGAATGGGCAGGCGTTGGTGTGAGGGATGAAGAATTGAATGAAACGAAGCCATTGAACGAGTGGATAGTATAGTTAGAAAAGTGTTGTCTTGATCAATTTCCCTACTCGAGTCCTTGCTTGGTTACAGTGCCTAAGATTGAAATCGTTGAACCTGAGGGTTCTCCTGTGTCTCAGGAATGCCATCCCTTATCAACCACCAACCGACCACTTCAAGCGGATAATGCCCTGCACTTTCTCGCTCAGGATCCTCCTCAAGACCCTTTTCAATGTCCTTCTTGACCTCTCCCCAAGTTACCATGAGCGGTGTCGTATTCCTGTTCCCATGTGACGCATTGAACAGAAACTCACTGAGCATCGCCGCCCGATCGTTTCCCCGGTTCCGCGTTGTCTCCCACGGGATCTTGACCCTCTCTGGTAGCGGTAGAAGCACAGCGGTGTAGCTCTGCGCCTGGTACGGTTCACGGCCCCAGACCATACCGCCTTTATGTCGCAGCTCAGGGAGGATGTAGTTGAGAGTGCGCATGCCCGGCATGAAATCGTACAGCGACTCTATAGAAGATCTCCAGTATTCCGCCATTGTCTCACCGGCAGCTGGACGGGGGACATCGCGAAAGAAAGCGCGCCATTCAATGCCAACGTTGAGGACTTTGTCATAGCCATGAATTGTGACTATTGAATTGTGTGGTTTGGCCTTGAGGGTGACGCGCTGGTTCCGGTCAAAGTAGAGGATGTCTGTCTCTGGCCTGAACCACACGCCTGGGTTGTCTCCGTGAGGGGAGAGGAAGAAGCCTTCACGCTGGGCAACAGCACGAGATTCCCGACATATTCGAAGAGCTATCGGAGGCGCGTAATGAATGTGAAAGCGGAAGAACAGTTGGTCGACTGTAGGGTTGGTAGATGGTTCTTGGGTTGAAGTCTTCTTTACGTGAAATAGACGACAGTCAGGGAGGGTGAACTTCCAGATGAGATCTCTCAGCTCAGGCGGGAGACCTTCCAGTCGAAATTGACTTGAGCTCGAATCCTCAGTAGAAGCCATGTTGATTTGTTTTGCAATCTTGGGTCGAACACGAATTACCCATGTGTCGGAATAGTTGTTGTTGATGAAAGGAGCATGTTTTATAAACGGGCGTCAGGCACCCGAATTTGGTGATACGAGGATGCGAGTCTGCCTTAAGCTAACTTAGTCCAATCGGCTTCGTCAGCATTATCGTCACCTCGACAGGCACCGAAATACCAGGACAACCCCTCAAATTAGGTTACACAATTAGTTCATATCATTATTCTATCTTAACATCAGTCAAAGCTGAGCTTCGTAAATGTATAGAGTGCTGTTATGCTGATCCGGCAGTAGGTAGAGCCTCAGCTTACCGTCCTTGACGCTAACATCCATTGGATTCTGCGTCAATCTCACCCCAAGCTTACTCTCCAGCTCGATTGGCACTTCGGCTAGAGGAACCATCGTTTTGACGTCCACGAGGGCAATGCCGCCAAGGTTGTAACCGCCAATTGTCGCGACGCCCGAACACAGCATGATACTCTTTCCACCGTAGAAACCGCTGTGGCCCAGCCATTTGCAGTCTTGGTAGTCGATGAAATAACTTGGATTTCGTACGACTCTTTCAGGTTTCGGTGCTGCGTCGCATCCTGTTTTGGCACTCTTTAGATCCCATGTCGCAGCGTCTCGTGCGCCCCAATTCAGGGCCGTAATGAGATTGTCGCGGGTGTCGTGGACAATGCCGCCGACGTGATCTTTATAATTGAGGACACGCTCTGGTACTAAGGTTGCTGGGTCTGTCCGGTATACATACGCAGTGCTGTTAGGCCGGTACTGCGCAATGGTTCCCCAGATATACTGCCCATCATAGTCAATTCCTCCATTATGATACTCATCATTCCCTTCTTTCGTGATGGTCGCATCAGCAAGTAGCTTTCCCTCACCGTTGTACACCATCAGGTGAGCTAGTCCTGCACCAGCTGTTCGGTCTGTCCCATTGATGATCTTGCCGTACTTTTCAGTCGGCACGGTCCAATGCCCTGAACTGACCACGTAACGGTCATCGCCCAAGCGTACCATTCCTTCAGGCTCAAACGTGTCGCCCTCAAAGGTGATGTTCGCAATGCTTTTCCATACAGTTGTGCGACTTAACGACTGGAAGGCGTGTATGATATCCGGTCCATCTAAAGCTGCATGAGCCGGAGGTAGTGGAGTCGGAGCCAGTGCATCGTCCGTATAAAATGTGACGTTCCTCGCCATAGCCAACGCTGGACAAACAGCAATCGAACTCGTAAGATTCATATCCGTCGATCCAAGATTAAAGAGAAAGTGAATTTGAGGTGCAAGCATAACAATCGTCAGAACCACAATGAGTGGAAGGGTCAGTTTAAATGCGATGCTGGCACACCACGGCTTCCCCGGAAGGCGATCGCGATCAGGAGCTGGGTCTCCATCTTCATGCATCCTCGACGAATGTGAGGAGAGAGATGATGATGATTTGATGCTGTTGATGGTGCAAGAAATAGAAACTCCTTAAATTAGACCAACCCGATAGCTCGGCGCCGTCACGTGGAGCTTCGCCGATCCTCCGCCGGCAGTTGGTGTCTTCGGGGCCCGGGCATTTAGCGAGGGTCCACCTTCCGGGGGACTAAACTTTAACTTGAGTGACCTCAAGCAGAAAATAAGGTGTTCAATATCTGGTCTAAAGATGCCTCAAGCATATAAGCTAGGTATTCTAAACTTACGTCAAGTGACCTAACTCTTTTTGTTCCTTAGGATACTTAGGTATTTTGTATATTTACTGTAAGTGAGTGAGGAGACAAAATACCCAAGTTGACAATATAATGCCCCCAAGGAGTAAAAAGTATCAGTCCTCAATATAGGCCATGAAGGTAAACTCAACAAAAGGCATCCTCTACTTACCTAGGTACCTAACCTAAGGTACCTTATGCTAAACTTGCACTCTGTTTCATTTAGGGTCGAGGTCCTGAGTTTTCCTTCCCTCCCTACCTACCTACCTACCTACCTACCTAGAAGACGTCTTCTCTCTGCGCGTGGAGCTTTCCATCTCGTCTGAGACAGAAAGTGCAATGCCACATTCAAAGGGACATCAGCCCGATGACTCTTCTCAAACATCATTCTCAACACCATAACTTATAGCCCAAAATGCCGCAGATTTCGTTCGATTCCATCCAGGACCTCCTGATGCACATGGACCACATCCCAGATGATCGGCGCCAGTTTCTCGATGATTACCTCACCCACAATTACAACGGCGACTACTACATCTTACGCATCACAGAATTCACACAATCGAAAATAATGGCCTCGGACGAGCTAAAACGCATGCTTCGGGGCTTTTAGTACTACCTGCATAACCTCGCCGTGTTCAGGCCCCAACTGCAAGATGCCATCATCAGGCTTATCCTCGCCATTGAAACACGAGAAAAGCAGCGTATAAGCCCAGACGCCATCTGGACCTTTAAAGAGGGTGCTGTCACATCTGAAAATTGTTAGCGCAATTTCAGCTGCTGGCACGAAGTCTGGAATGTCCTGAACCAATGTACGTAAACTGACACCGACGCCGCGTCCCCTACTTACTGACATGGGCCAACCTAGACTACTATATGTCTTATGCCCCCAATGCGGGCGATCCCTTGGGCCTAGGAGTCCATATCAGTCGCCAGGAGGCCCGCGTCAACGTCAACATGTTCGTAGCTCGCCTCGGTGAGGAGATAGGCCACTCTGCCTTTCTCGGAGCATTCCATGCACACCGGGAAGAAGCAATGGTACTACTAGAGACCATAGTTCATAGGAGATGCGCAAGTCCCGAAGAACTCGCCCTGGTAGCAGCACAAATTCCTATATATGCACCTCTGCAAACGAAGGATTGTCTTTGTCCTTTACCCGGCGGAGCTTGGGGGCCACCGAAGGCGAAATGGGAGAGACACAAGAGTCTATGGGAGATGCTCATACATCGTGAGATCCGCCCAGAAGTGCAGGAACTGGCTCGGAGGGTTCATTCTCTGATGTGTATCGTTGATGGTAGCGAAGGCTCTGAACCAATCACAAAATAAGAATATTACAGCACACTCTATACGTGGGTGTTTCTTCTGTGTAGTTCTTTTACAAAACTTAGGATATCTATCCTAACTAATAAAAAGAGTCAGGGGAAATTTAGTATATCCTTACAAGTTTAGTGTGCCTTTGGACTACCTAGTCCAAAGGCGGCCTTGGGACACTTCACAGAACAACCTCGAGTGCTCCCATGGTGTTGACAAGACCTTCTCAAAGTAGAAGGGCTAGGACAGGCCGGTATGGCTGTCCTAGGACCCCCTTCTCCCGCTGAGGTCGATGTTTAAACAACTTGGTTAAACAATAATAAGTTATACTTCTTTCTGTCATCTTGACCGTTATAGGTCACTTGAACTCCAAAAGGCCTGCAGAGGAAACGAACATGTTCAAAGAGGAAACAATGGGGGCCACCACATGCAGGCCCAAGGATCTCACACCATCTTATGAATCTCTCGCCAATCATGCATGCAGCTAGCACATGTTGGCCCGTTATACCAGCCCGCGAGGCGTGTTTCGCATTAGGAGATTGGTCGGTATCGATGATGAAATGGCCGGCCCCCAGGTTGAAAGTGAAACTATGGTTGGGCGGTGATAAGATTTCTGGGTTCAACATCGCAGGGCTGGTTGATGAGCGGGTACCTAGGCGGTTATTTAAACTGCACTCGGTCGCACACATTGCGCTCTGTCAACGGAGCCATTTCTCATTGCTTCGCTTTGTATCAGCTATCGGAAGTAACAACCGCTGTTGTGATCACGTCAGGCTTGCCATTCTTGTGCCGGCGTTTTGAATTGGTGACGTTTACTATCTTCACGATGGGGCTTTTCAACGACATTGACATTGAGCGAGACTTTCCGGACCATGGTAAGAGTTCTCTTCAGTATCTCAGTCACTTGACAAGAAGCTAACTTGAGACCAGAGATCCAGTCTATGGTGAAGCGTTCCGAGTGGGCAGTTCAGCAGCATCAAGCCCAAGAGCCCAATACTATTGACTCTTACTGCCCAATTGACTATGGAAACGAGCAAACTTTAGCCATCACTTCCTACAGCACTCCCAGGCCTCAGATTTAGTCTGGGAACCATGCACGTATTTATGGCTTTGATCCACACGTCAGTGGACTGGCCGATCTACAAGCGGGATTGTCGTTGGATAGTAGCGGTTCCGAGGATGATAGGTCCGAGAGTAGGAGTGAAGACGAACACGCGATGGGCAAGTAATATCTTTTTCATCATAATATCTTCAACGTCAGCTAATTAGTATCAGGTACGAGGGATGTAGTGTGTTGTGGAAGATCTTGGAAGCAAGGAGCCAACTACAGGTCAGTTCATCTCATCCCTCAGTACAGCCACAGGTCTTCTAACTTTTCTTTGATCAGGAAACATTACAATCGTAAACATAACCGTCGCCTGAATTGCGTCTTCCAAAACAGTTGCGACTATCTCGGGGCAGACAAGAAGGAACTTCATCGTCACTACTGGGTATCGCACAAGGAATATGCTCGAGCGAACAAGATCCCTGATCCGAGTGGAACTTGCGAAGCATGTGGAAGGCATTTTAGTCGGAAGGATCGTATTCCTCGTCATCTTTCACGGTCGCTTTCATGCCGTATTAAGCTAGGGCTTAAGAAATAGTTGTAGCTTACTATGACATGGGGGAACTGTGCAGGGTGATGAGGGATACGGCTTCTGACTTACTAGGGACACCATTGCGGTTTGGACAAATGTTTCGTGTTTTTATTCTTTTGTATTTTGTTCTACTATACCATTCACTTTGAGAACTCCCAGCGCCATACATGTGCTACTGCTTCATGACCAGCTCCAGATCAACTCCATCCATCTATACAAGACATCGTTACCATTTCCTGCGAGTCCTCTCGGTATAAATACACCAGTCTCATTGTTTACCAAACAATGCTTTCCCACTGCTTCTTCGCAAGATCTTCCTTCGGTTCGACAGGCTTCGTAGGCGGAGGAAGCTCCTTCAGGTACTCAACCAAAAGCTTCGGGTGAAGCGCGATACCCTTCAACTTCTTCTCCCATTCTTCCTGGGGTGAGCTTTCAATGATCTCTCGAATCTTAGTCGAACTAGGCGCATCTTGAGATTGTCGGTCCAGATCACACGGTATGAATCGGACAGTGCCCCTGGGCCGGACTCGGTTCTGGCGACAAACTGAGATCTTGTGATCAAACCGAGCTCGACCATCCTCCAAATTTATCCAGGGCTCGCAGCCCGCTAGTTGCCGGAGACTGTTGGGATAGCGAAAGTCAACAGGGCGAGAGATGTCACTGGTGATAGCATCGCCACAGTTCCAACCCACAGGGTTATAGCCGCCATCTGCAGTAATGGCATCTGGACCAAAGAGAAGAACGAACTTGAGGTCTACGCCATCCCTCTTCAACGCATTGACAAGCTTGGCACGGAATCCTGGCCAGCTAGCTTCAGAGTTATCGTAGACCCATGCCCAGTCAACAGGAATGCCGTCTCCACGCCAGAGGTTCACTCGCTTCTCACGAGAAAGGACAATACCAGTCTCTCTCCTATCCATCTTCATCTTTAGCCTCTCATCATCAGTGGTAATGATGATAGCTGCAATGATATTGAGGTCTGCTCCCGCATTATAGAAAACATGTTTGAGGAGATCAAGATGGCCTTGGTGAGGGGGGTTGAAGGATCCAGGGAAAAGTAGAATGCGATTGACTCGGCCTCGGATTATAGGAGGCTGTGTTGCCGTCCCGTTGTTGAAGGGGCGAACGGTAGTCTGCAATGAAGTCTGGTCAGCCTCCTTGATGCGCTCGATGTAGTCAGCAAGACGTCGTGGAGCCATTGTTTCTCCTTGAGAGCTTGGTTGGGGGTTTGTAGAAGAGGAAGAACTCATGGTGAAGAGGATCAGTGTGAGGTACCTTGTTATGGGGGTATAGTAGACTGTTCAAGCGAATGCGCAGGTAGCAGGTGCTGTGATTCACAGATGTGGCCTGCGTACAGAGTATAGAGTTTGACGGCTGACTTGGATAGCTCTTTTATATAGACACTTGCAATGAGCCAACCTTTTTTAAACCAAAAGTCTGAGTCGTCTCTCTTGTTATCTCAACCAGTTTGAGGTGATCTTGTTGATGTTAGTGTATTTCGCGGTGAAATTGGGAGTGCTGGTGAGGAGTCGTGATAACTATCGTGAAAGCGATGTCAACAGATGGTTTGATGTATTGCTACCCAGTCTATTCAACACTTTATATACGCGTTGGTGCGAGCCACTGCTAGCAGTAACTGAACCACAGTTTCAGTATGTCCTCTCTCAATAGACTGGTGTTCATAAAGTAGTATTTCCGTTGACCAGGATGAATTGGAGAACGTTACGAGAGTACAGGTAATAATAATTGGGTATCGGTATATATGATCTGGCATGTGTATTTTAACAAGCATTTGCTCCTACGAACAAGCGCAGTATAATAAACCAAGATCATAAGTCGCGAGGCTTGGCTTTTGGGTGTTGCGATGTTCTCTAGGGTAGCACGTTTAGATCGCAGGACTGTGATATTGAACAGGGATATTAACCGATCAAGCTAAATATAGAAGATCGAGCTATGACACATGATCAATGAATTTTGCTGAGGTTGACGGGAACATTTAGTTGTAGATTATCACAAAATGAACAATGATTGATTTATTCGTACGCGATCCAGAAGAGCCAAACTGACAAGGTGAGCAATCAGTGAACGCCTCGGCTGATCAACAAACAAACAACCAGGTCGCGAAACCCTGTCAGCATCTGAATCAAGCACGGTTGGTCATGGTTCGTCAATCAGAATCAGAACGGGATGGCCGCAGGCACAGCTGCATGGGATCGACACCGCACAAACACCACATTCACCCAAGCTCGGCAAGCGCACAGCAAAACACAGCATGAAAATAAATACGATACGATGAGAAAAAGGGTCGGACAAATGCATGAGAACTGAGATTTCCGCTGGAGGAGAAAAGAAGAGAAAGAAAGAAAGATTTGCTGATCTTGTTCCTGAGTAAGAACCCTGCATGGGCGGAACGACGGGTGATGATGCCGCGAATCGTGAGAAGAGTAATCGTAAGGCGGTGAAAAATGAAAACAAAAAGAAAGAAAGGGTTTGCTCCGCTTATCATCTCGCTGAGGTGTGCCATAAATGGAAACAGGCCAGGGGTGATTGGATGCCGACATGCCAGCTCTCAATCAAAAGATATGGGGTAACGTCACTACAAGTCATGGCAAGACGAGAACAAGACCAGCCCTGTATTTACTGTCTTACAGTGCAGTAACACTCACTCAGTGAATCAATCAATCAATCAATGATCTGACGGGGCATCTCACCCGGTCAAAGCCAACACATTCGTGAGCAATGTCTCTCCTCTGTGGCCTTTTCATTACTAGCCAATTACTCCAAGACCAGTCTCGGGAATGTGAGGATAAAACAAGACGAACAGAACCAGACAGCGGAACACATGACCCCTGTCAAGCTGCCATGTATGGGAGGGTATTTCAGGTGTCGTCTCATTCGTCAGATGGACCGCGGCCACGGCAGACAAGGCTTGGGGCGAACTGGGACTAGTTTAGCTTGAAAGCTTTTTGTTGGAGATTTTCATTCTCTGGCGTCATGGGCATGACGAGATGGTTTGATCATGAAGAGGGACTCGAGAGTTGAGCTAGAGTAGAGTAGAGTAGAGTTCTAGGCTGAGCACTTGAAGGCGCTCTGATTGAGTGCCATGCTGAGGGGTATGGAGCGGGATATTCCCCGAGCTTAAAATATACGTCAGACTCGAGTTTGCTTGTGATTATGAGAGCTCCAACCTCCAACCTCCAGCTCCCAGCTCCGAGTCAGCTGTCGGTGGGTTCAGTGTTGCATCACATCGAGCTCCCTGTCTGCCGTTGCCGGTTTACAGTACTGTACTTACTCACTGTGCATAGGTAGCCTTTCTGACAGAACAGCTTTCCCCCTCCCCGTCTTGACTCTCTCAAGTCTAGTACCTAGGGTATGTACCAGCCATCGGATTGAACCTGATTCAAGCACAAAAGACCACCAACAGGGTCTTTTGCCCATCTTGTGCGTGCTGTGTGTGTCACTCGCCCATCCATGTCTCACTGCCCACTTAGCGCCCACCGCTTCCCAAGGTCCCCCCCTCCCCCTGGCGCATTCTCCCCATGCCCCGATCCCTGTCCATCTTTTTCGGCGCGGGTCCTGGGCGTTCAAGCCATGATGAGCTAGACACGGTATTCATACAGTACGGTATCATTGTGCAGACGAGGTGAACGTGAACAAGTCGAAGAGATAGATGCCTTCGGTTTGCGACAGAAGCTTAACTGCATAAGAGAACAGGGCCTGAGCTCATACTTGTCATGATATCGACTTATAACCCTGCTATTCCTTCTCTGTTAGTCTCGATCTTAGTACAAAATCGGATTCTTATTACACCCCAGCCGGGGCACAGCAGTGTAACAACAAAGTCGATCTATTGGGTGATGTGATTGTTTCTGATCACGCCTCTGTCCTGCTTTGAGCCAGCCAGCACAACACCGCAGTTTCAACTGTGTGTGGTTGAGATGAGCCAGTGAGTTAGTGACTGAGAGTGAGTGGAAGAGTGGACTTTACTGTCACCTCGTGGAGCCATCTATCAACTTACCTTTACTCCTCCAACAAGATAAGCATCGATATTTCCAACATTTGGACCATTTCTTGTGTCTCGTCGTCAGTATCACGTTCTTCTCGCATCTGGCACGTGTCGTATGTGTGTCGTCCCTTGCTCTTTGCGTGTTTGTGTGTGGTAACCGTATTGTGCCTATGTATGTACATCTTTTTTTGCTTTACCGCCGCGTTTTCTTGTCGCATAATCACAGCCGTTTTGCTTTTTCGCTTCGCTCCTGAGCTTCCATTTGCGCGCGCGCGCATTTGTAGCGATCTGATTCACTGCGGATACATCAGTTGCGTATTTTTGCTTTTACCTTGCACTCCGAGGCACAACGTTTGCTTGCTTGCTTGTTTGTTTTCCACTCCCGCGCAAACGAAGCCCGATTATCGCAGACACAACCCAAAACGTTGAGTCCAATCTG